TCATGCTTTATTGCACAAGTGGTACTGTTTCACACAAGTATTCACCCTGGAAACTAATGCTACTCCTCCCAGAGGGAAGTGCTACTCAGTCAGACCAAGGGTATCTAAAGTAAGCAATATTGCTGTCTCCATAACCCCTTGCAGAGCTGGAGTTACCAAGAAGCACACTAGACCTGTGGATTTTGCTAGCAGGTTCTTTAATCAGGGAGCAATTTGCTGAAAACACAACCAGGATGAGAGGACAGAAGTGGGAGCTGAAGGAGAGGTGTCCACGCCAGCCATCGTAGTTGAGAAAAAGCAACATGCTGTCCGCTTTAAGAGGTACGGGAAAGGGCAGTGCTGAAGAGCATCTGCTACTTCCTCTGGTACCTTGCACTCTCATGCAGCCCTGCAAGTCTTTGGGGGAAACAGGCAACACCTGCCACCTCTCTGCTTTATTTGTAAATAGTAAAGACAGCCCTAGCAGAGTGAGGCCACAGCAAGAACAGCAGTTTTCTTCAAAGGATTTCTTTTTTTTTTATACTTCTGCAAAATGAAAAATAAGAGGCTAACTGTGTAAGCATGGTATCTGAAAGGATACAAAACCTCCCTGCTCAGAGCATGAGAGATCTTCCTTCATGTCCCATCTCTGTTCTGTGTGTGCCAAGCAACTATGGTGAGAGCTTCTGTTTACTGGGACGAGCATCTCTATGTGCCTTACAGTGAATACACAATCAGTGCTGATATTATAGCAGCCATATTCCTGTCTGAGATCGCTGTGTGCCTTACAAGTCACACAGGAGCTGCGCAAGTATAGTGCACTTAGCATGATTAGGAGGTAACAGACGTACTCCACATGTACTGGCAGAACTGGTCTGTGTCTGCAGACTGAGTCCGACACCCATCCTCTGTGGCATATATGCATAAGAACTGGGCAGTGTGTGCATAGTGAGCGCTGTGTATCTAGAAGCAACACTTTCATTTTTAGTGGAAATTTTTGAGGACTGAGGTGTAAATATGCAGTTGACTTGTCAAGAGTTTCTAGACTCGCAGCACCTCAGAATGGCATACTCAGAAATCTCAGACAACTACAAAATGCTCACACTTCTCCCAGACAGTTTTATGGTGGAGAACGGGAATACATTTAGAAAGCTTAGACATACTTTATTTTCAGTGTTACTGAGGAAGCAGTAAGCTTTAGGAAGCAAACACTTACTAAAATGCTGTAGTGTGATTTAAAGAAAAACTCCTTTCAAGCTGACGGTAAGGTATATTTAGACTTAATTATTAAAATTCCACTGAATGATTAATCGTTATTAATGGAAATAAATTTAGAATTCCTCTATATTGTTTTACTTAAATGTATTCAACATAAATACTCATCCTCATTAAAATCAATTGCAATCTAAGCATAAAGTATGTTGCTCAGAGTGCTTTGATCCCATGCCCATATAGCATATAGTATTTTGCATATCGCTAGTTAGTTACAGCCAGGTTGTAGGTGTGAACAAAATTTGTAACTGGCTGATACATCGCTTGTGGGTATTTGAAATATAGTTTAAGCACTTTGCACAAAAATCCGTATATCTTTTTGTAGCAGCTCAAAACAGCCCAGTTTGTTATGCCAGCAAATCCAGTCTGATATGTGAATAAAAGGAACTTGTTCTGTGTTTTACTGACTTTTTTTTCTTTTTCTGCTGAATGTGATGTTTTCCTTATCCGGATGGCTGAGAGATATGTTATGTCACTAACACAATTTTCCTTCACTCAAGTGCCAGAAGCCTGAGTTTTGTAGCTAGAAAGGTAAAGAATAAGACCAATGGTGTCCTGGGCTGCATTAGGAAAAACATTGCCGGCAGGTCGAGGGAGGTGATCCTTCCCCTCTGCTCAGCTCTGGTAAGGCCACATCAGGAGTGCTGGGTCCAGGTCTGGGCTCTCCAGTGCAAAAGAGACATGGAGCTACTGGAGGGAATCCAGCAAAAGGGCCACAGAGATGTTTAAGGGAGTAGACCGTCTGTCAGATGAGGAGAGGCTGAGAGAGTTGGGACTGTTCAACCTGGAGAAGAGAAGGCTCCAGGAGATCTTGTCAATGTGTACAAATACATGGTGGGGAGTGCAGTAGCCAGACTCTTCTCAGTGGTTCCCAATGACAGGACAAGAGGCAAGGGACACAAATTGCAATACAGGAAATTGCATTTAAATATAGGTAAAAACTTTGTCACTGTGGGGGTGGCCAACATCGGAACAGGTTGCCCAGAGAGGTTGTAGAGTCTCTGTTTCTCGGGGATATTCAAAACCTGACTGAACACGGTCCTGAGAAATTTTCTCTAAGCGACCCTGCTCTGAGCAAGGGGATTGGACCAAACAATCTCTAGAGGCCCCGTCCAATCTCAACTATTCTGTGAATCTGTGATTCTGAGATTAAAAAGCCCAGTTCCACATGTTGCTGCGCACTGGTGATGTGATGCTGAAAAATCTAGGCTCTCCTTTGTTCCACTAGTTGTTAGGATGGGTAAGAACATTGTGGGATGCAGTTATTTTCATGGCAAACCTAGGCTTGTTTCAAATATACCATAAAAGCATCTGTGACGCTCTTTGTGAACAAAAACAAGATCTAGCCCTTTTTGCAGCACTTTCTTTTGAAATTGCTTCTTAGATAAGTAAATTCTCTTCTTTACATAGATTCAGTCAAATTAAGAGTCTGATTTTGCCACCAATGTCATGTGCAACAGTCCTGTCTTATATATTCAGCTTCATCGGGTTCACCGAGTTTTGCTCACGTGAGTAAAGGTGGCAGAATTTTATGAGCCTTGTAAATATATTATTTGCAGAGCTCTCCAGCATCTTTTTCTCAGGCGCGTGAGCCAACATCATATCCTATCACGTGAAAGAGAACTAGCCTGGCAGTTCAGCTTATATGACCCGGTGGGACAGTGGCATTTGCGTTCAGTTATTGGTGTGGAAGAGAGGCCGTGGTGCTGTGCTGCGAACACAGGAGATACAGCCTTGCTGTGGAAAGTGGAAGGGAGGGAGGAGGCATTAAGCAAGATCCTAGAAACAGGCTCCTGTTCAGTGTTTAAGACTTAGTAAGTGTTGTGACTCCCTTATGCTGTACAGATGACCGCAGTGGTTTTGCACCGTTTGCTAATAGGCATTTGGAAAAGCTGTAATGTTGCTATGTTCCTTGAGGGGCCTGGTTATCATTCCCAGACATTTTTACTCAAGAAGACTGCATTCAAGAGGGGAAAGTCATTTTCAGCCGAACACAGACCATGATCACTATACCTGAAGAGAATAGAAGTGTATTTAAATAATAAGGTATTTGCTATGCAAAAGATTGGCATAAGCTTTTGCACAGACCTGTTAGCTTAAAGGCTTATCTCATTTAATGCTAAGGAGTCTTTCCACTGTGTTCTCACTAAGGCCTGTCTGTACATGGAGCTGCTCAGAAACAGCTGTTTCTGCAGCTCTCGATGTGTACATAAGCCCTTAGTGAGATGGTATTTTCTATCTGGATGATCAACATGCTCATTTTTTATATACCTAGCCTTTGTGCCTGGTAAGATAAGAAAAATCTTCTCCCAGCGCTCTTTTTAAATGCCAAAAACCCTTTTATCTAAATACAAATACAGGGTTTCTGTACATATCAAATAAATCCTTATCTATGACACTCCTCCCAATAAGAAACTGTTATTTATTCTTGCTATCTCTTCACCGAATGCATTTGATACTTCTGCTACCTCTCCTAAGTCTGTCTGAGTGTTTTCCTAGCATTTTTCACTTGGATGTCCCTATACCATTTTAACTTTCAAGTCCCTGACACCATATAAAATCGATGAAGAGAAAGAGTTCTCTTGCTTCTACTTCATGGATTAGTGGCAAGTTGTTGCTGTTTCTTTTTTTTTTTTAATTTTCCTCCCTCCTTTTTTTTTTTTTAATGCATCTGTGTGTTGGGAGTATTCTTGAGCTTTACAATAGCGCATCATGTTGCAGCTGGTGGCTCAGGCCAGCTTTGGTGAAGCAGCAGAGCCTGCTTTGCTCTTCATAGGAGAGCCACAGATGCGCTTTCTTTCTTGCAAATACACCAGTTCCTTCACAGTCCCACTGGTCCTTATGGAACAGATGAAGGGTCTGAAAGAGGGCTTAGGGAGATCATCCCATGAAGTACTTCAGTTATCTTTTAAGTAAAAAGATTCTCCTTTTTCCACTTTATTCCATTGGAGTAAAATGCAGCTGCCTGTTTTTCTCAAGTTCACTGGTCACATCTGTAAGTATTTAGGAGCCTAACATTGCACAAAAGGAGAGTTAGTTAGAAACATAGCCTTTCTTTATAAAATTAAGCTTTTTTTCTCCAATCCTTAAGGCTGGTTTATATCAGCATTATCTGTCCTACCGTACCTACTGCAGTCTTCTCCTGCAAACATTCATGCAACTAGCTCACGTGACTCTTAGGTATAGTTACAAAAGGTTTGTAGAAGGAAGTGACAGACATTATAAATTTACCTCCATTGCAGTTCCTGTCCTAGAGAATTTGGCTAGGAATGAATCAGTTAAAACAAAACAAAACAAAAATCGAAATCAAAAAAAGCGTATTACCTTTTATTTTCAAGATAAACATGTCACATAAATTGAGTCACATTTTAAGTACTCATGAATGCCTTGTACCAAATCTTGATGTGACTCTGCCTCCATTCTTTGTCACCCAAACACTGTTTAGAGGGACTCTGAACTTCAGCGCTTCCTAGCCCTAGCGGCAATATTTCCAGCGGGTGCCGGCTGGCACCTCTGCCAGCCCTCGGCTCCCCTGGGTTCTCCTCAAAATCCTTACCAGCCCCTGCCTGGGGCAGTGTGGCAGGCATCTCATGTAGTGCAACACATCGTGGCCCATTTTGTCTCATCTCTAGCATAGAAGGTTACATCCAAAATAAGGTTACGTTCAAACCTACAAACATTTTTGAATTCTTAAATTCTGTTGAAAGCAATGGGTGTTAGGAG